GAGTTCCTAAAATCCTTCTTTTTCTTCTTCTTCTTCTTTTTTTTATAAAGTAATCTCTACACCCAACGTAGGGCTCAAACTCATGACCCTGAGATCCAGAGTTGTATGCTCTACCAACTGAACCAGCCAGGTGCCCTCTTCCTAAAATTCTTAATAGTTAAAAAGTTTATTGTAGCAGGGGCTGACACATAGAAAACTCCCAACTTTAGGCAGAATGGAATTCTGTTTAGCAGTCTTGATTTTTTGAGGGGGGTGTCCATGTGTATGGGAGGTTAGTGTAAGAACACCATTTCCCCCCTCCAATACTGTTTGGGAATGTAAATATTATTAACTTGAATGTATTTTTGCTTTTGTTTCTAGAAAACACACCATTATCAACTGAGCAACTGAAAAAGCCTTGGCCTATATCTTAGAGCTGTTTAAATAAATGTTCGTTGGAGCATATTTAAAAGCAGGTGACAGGGGCGCCTGGGTGGCCCAGTGGGTTAAGCTTTGCCTTTGGCTCAGGTCGTGATCTCAGAGTCCTGGGATCCAGCCCCATACTAGGCTCTCTGCTCAGCAGGGAGCCTGCTTCCCGCCCCCCTCTGCCTGCTGCTTTGCCTACTTGTGATCTCTCTCTGTCAAATAAATAAAATCTTAAAAAAAAAATAAAAAATAAAAAAAATAAAAGCAGATGGCAGTGAAATCTTAGTAACCCCTAGAAATAGCATTACCAAAATATAAATTCTTTTCTCCATATTACAGTAAATTTAAAACAAACATACAGCCAAAGGTAAAGGAGGCAGGCCAAATACTGCATTTAGGAAACCTCTCTTCCTGTATCTTGGTGTGCAGCAGTTTTTAGCAAACCTTCAAAGTGGCTGGACCAGGATCCACTGGATGGCAGCATCCTTAATTAGACGAATAAGACAGTAATTCTGAAAGTGCCTTGTTTAACAATAAAGACTAAGAAATAATATATTTAATTTTGAAATGTACTAACTCAAAACCCTAATTTAAGCTTCAACAAGACAGATTGGAGCTCTTATGCTTGCTTCAATTCAGAAATGCCCCAAACAAGAGACCCGTGATTAATTTGAGCCAACAAGTTTCTCCTAGCCATTTTCCACTCAGATTCTCCCCATCCTACCCACTGACCTTCAACCTAGCTTAACCCAGTCTCTCCCACTCTTCGCCATACTATGTATCTTCACTATCAAATTTATTTTTGACTACTACTTGAAAACAAAAAAAGCCAATGGAACAGGAGAATATACCAACTAACTAGACAAATAAAGGTAAACAAGGAGTCTGGAGCTAACAGATTTAGTTAAGAAAAAGGAAAATGGTCCCTGAAAAATGTGTGTCCTAACCCCAATCCTATCCTTAATCTGGAACACTGGTGAGATCCCAGAATTTCTGGGTGGTCATGGGGTGCCTGGCTGGTTCACTATAGCGTGAGACTCTTGAGCCCCGAGTTGTGAGTTTGCCCCAAACTGAGCACAGAGATTACTTAAAAATAAATCTACAAAAAAACAACAAGAACAACAAAAAAAGGTCTTGCCTCTCCAAATTAAACCCCTCTAGGTCTGTACCTTCCTTAAAAGGCCCCCATGCAGCAATTCCATTGACAGGCTATACCTACTCTCACTGTATTTAAGGTCCACCTCCCCCAATACACACACAGTTACTGAATTTCTTGTTAAGTGGAAAAGGTGCAGAGATCAATCTTTTTAATTCCTGCCTTTCCTTCCCCGGGTTTTTCTCAATTAATCCACTTTTTAAATAAAGTATGAGCTTTTCCTTCTGTTTAAAGTTTAAGGGGTCCCGGTCTACTTTGGAAGTGGTGAGTAAAAGCCACTGGAGTCAGACTATGTAGGTTTGATTCCCATCTTCACCACTCAATAATAGTTGGGGCACCTCTGGTGTCTGGCTGGCTCAGTCAGAGGAGTGTGTGACTCTTGATTTCGGGATCATGAGTATGAGCTCCACACTGGGAGCAGGGATTACGTAAATAAACAGATGAATTAATTAAAAAAAAAAATAGTTGGGGCACTTTAAGCAGAACTCTTGGTCCCTTTACTCCCCCTGGAAACTTGAGATAATAGTATTTCCCATGGGGTTAGTGCGGAATTATGCATGTGAAGCAATTATTGCAGCGCCTGGCACGCAAGAAGTGCCCAATAATTCATCTAGTATCATCTTAATGCCAAATTCTTCCTGCACCCAGGAGTTTGCACTGAAAAATTAACCCCAGATCAAGGAAAAATTAAAGAGAAAATATTATTTATGCAAAACCCCCTTTAAATTATGCCCAGCCAGTAGGTAGGCAATTCCCAGAAAAATGTGCTTACTACAGTCCACAGAGGGGTTCTTTGCTATATAGCTCTGAAGGACATTTCATCCTGAATGAAAGTAAGCATTGAAAAAAACAGTCTATTTGGCTTTCAACTCATCCCGGTAATCTTAAAGACAGGAGTTCTTTTTCCCAGCATTGTTTATAAAAACCCAAGTTAACGAGAAAGAAAGCTGCCAAAAGGCCCAAGTTATTTTTAATGCAGAAAAACTATTGTGAATTGTGTATTTATTCTCCAACAATAATCTCTCAAAAGTCTAAAAAGTCGTATCTAAAAAAGTCAAGGTGTTCTTTGCTCAACATTCATTCAGATGAGAGGCCTGTCCTATTTTTCTTTTTAAAAATAATCTCATCAGTCTAGTCCAAGATCAACTTCATCCCTTCTTATATAAAAGTACTTTAACTCCCCAAGACACCCTTGGAAAGGGTAATTGATGGCTCCTTCCACTTAACGGAAATACAAAATCTAAGGCTCTCCTTATTACCCTGTTTATCAACATCTCCTCCACACACAGGATGAGAAATTGTATCCTAGTACCACCTCACACCTGCAATTTCTTTGACAGAGGTCAGAATCCATTTTGACTCTATTGAAATCTTTCCAGAATACCAAAAATTATTTAAGATCAAAGAGATTCTAAATTTTACTCCATTTTTTTCATAGCCTTCAGATATGAAAATTATGTCTGATTAAAGGTGGAAAAGTAGTTACCTTATCAAATGTAACTGTATATTCACTTTTGAAAGAGAAAGCAGTACACATGCTTTTTGAGCTTCTGTATGCATGGAATATTAAATTACACAGTTCTTTACCATTATTATTTAAAAATAACAGAGGACTCTAGGCTACAGTTTAGAAAAGCAAAAGTCCATTAGCCTCATAACCTTTGATCATGAAGATTACTATATAAATGGCTACACAGCTATATGAATTACTGTTTAATAACAGCTAAATTGAAAGGCACAATTTACTTCATACTAGTGGGAGCTGGGGGAATACAATCCTAATCATTACTGGGACAAAGTTCAAGGTAAACAGCCTCAAACAACAAAAAAGCACAACTAATAAATTATCAATAACTTAAAATCTTCCTTTAAATCTTCAAGATAAGTGTAAAGCTTCACATATAAGAATATAAACATACGCTCTTACTGTACTTTTTACGTTACACATTTCCTTGAACCAAGTATTTTTTTCTAAGGAACCAATTACCAAAAAAAGTTGTAAGTATAAATATCTACTCCTTTAAAAGTCCCTACAAAGTATGAACAGAAACTTGTTTTCACTTTTACAACAATTTACAAAACTAGTTAGGAAAACACTATGAAACACAAGTGTCCCTTCCCTCTGCCTTAGCGAAAGAAGCAAAATGCTAAGAAATCGAGGCAAATTCTAAAAAATCAGAAAAACTATATAAAGCATCCAAGGAAGAAATAGTTTATGATAGCAGAAATTTTACTAACAACCTAAAATCAAGAGAAATTCTAATCTACACTCGAAACTCTTACCCTTGACAGCACAGAACAGAATATCCTGCTTTACACATTTTGTAATTGCAATTCTGAAACGTTAAATCCAAAGACAAAGCCGCCCTGGGGAAAAAAACAATTGCGCAACAGATCAACAGCTCCAACTTGTCCCTTGGCCCTGGCGCGGCAAGGTTTGCACGCTATAAAGCAGGAAAGGGCCAACCAAGGGCCGCCGTGACAGCCAACCGGCCACTCTCACGGAGGCCGAGTCCACGCACGCGGCGCGCGCCACTGGGAGGCACCGCGCGGGGATCGAGCTGGGGCGCGGCGGCATCCGACCTCAGTCCGCCGCCTAGCCCCCCATTTACCAGCCGGTTGCCAGGGGATGACCTCGGATCTGCGAGTCCGAACTTTTCCCACTAAGGGAGCAAGCGCACAGGGCCGCTACCTCCGCCGCACGTCGGGGCATCGGAGCGCGCCGGGCACTTGGTGACCTCTTCCCTCCCCCACCCCGGGGGCTGGGCTTTCTCGCTAGGCTGCCTACCAGCGATCCGACGGACAGACCCACGGATTACTCTGGAAAGGAGCGCCCTTAGACCGCTCAGCGGGTGGGCGCGCAGCGCCACAGTCCGCTCCCACGGAGGCCGTGGATGGGGGCGGCGGCAGAGCAGGGGCTCCGGGTCCCAGTCCGGAGGAGACCTCAACTCCCCCGAGAGCGGCCCCGTGACTAGGCACATTTTTGCCGACTCCGAGGCGGAGGAGCAGCGCAGCCCCGGAAGGGCCGGGCCGCGCCGGCTCAGACCGCCAGCGTCCGCCCCCTCTTCCAGCCCGGCCACCTCTAACTCCGGGGGCCAGCTGGGGCTCCGGAGTCCCAGCTCCGGAAGCTGGGGACGCCGCTAGCGAGGCCCCTACGCCCGAGAACGAAGCCTCCAGACCTCCACCCAGCCACCCTCGGGGGCCGCACCCCCCACTCCCTTCGCTGCCCCTTGGGTCCTCGTGGCCCTCGCAGGTCTCGCTCCTCTCCCTACCCGGGCCCGGCGCAAACACAGCGGCTCTACTGTGCGGCCGCTGCAGTCCGGACTCCGGCAGTAGACGGGAGACACTGGCCGCGGCTGTCCCCGCCAGGTCCGCGTTTCCCTCACTCCCCTGAGCCCGTCCGGGCACCACCGCGGGGCTCCCAGGGTCTGGGCAGCACCTGCTGGGACGGCAGTCCGGGCGGCGGCAGCTCCAAGTCCATCATGATGAACTGGTGACCGTGCTCTGGCGCTCCCCGACGGCGGCTGTGTCCCAGCTGCCGAGGCGCGGCGCGGAGCGGGCGGCGGCGGCGGCGGCAGCAGCAGCGGTAGCTCCTCCAGGATCCCCAGCACTCGCTAGTCCACGACACGGCCCGAGTGGCCAGCCGGGACGTTGCCCCGCTCCGCCTCCCGCCCCCGAGGGCGGGGCGAGAGCCCGGGTCCTTCCTTCCCGGGCTGGCGGCGTGGGCCGAGCTTCCGAAAATCCCCCACCCCCGCTCCAGCTGACGCAAGAAGCTCGCTGGCCGCGGGTGGCGAGGGGTGGGGGTGTCCCTGGGGTCGGCCGTGGGTGGCCGGGGGCAGCCATGGATGGCCACGGGCGGGCGGGGTGCCCGGAAGAGGGTTGTATTAGCTCCCCGCTCCCTGAGCTCAACCCCTCCTCCCCCCCGCAAATAAAACCTAGGCTCTCGGCCCGCGAGATTAAGAGTTGTTTGCCGAAGGTCGCTCGGATTCGAGTGCTTTGAAACAGTTTAAACAGTTGGAACAAACACGCCTGGAGACCCGGCAGAGGCGCCGGTGTCCGAGTTGCGCCTCCCTGATTTGGAAATGCAGAACCTTGCCGGGCTTTATCTCACTCCACCGCTTGAGAGTGGCGCCAGCCCTGGGGGCGGGGGCTAGAGGTTTGGACCCAGGCCCTGCGCAACGCGGACTGCCCTCTCGCCCTCGGTCCCCTGCGGGGTGGGGGCCAGCGGGACTCGCCCAGGGCTCATACGGACCGCGCGGGGATCTCGTGCTCGCAGTCACCCTGAACGCCCTCTGCTTACTCCCCCGCCCTGGCACTCCCGCTAGGCCCAGATCGCCAAGGGCAAACGGGGAGATCTCTTTGGGTCGGGAGAGTGATCAGTATGGCCCAGCTAGAGTTTTCTCTTCCACCAGAGCGCACACACCACACTACAGATGGCGTCTTTGAACACTGCAGTACTACAACATGCTGTAATCTCTACAACTTTCTTTTCACGTACCTAGGGTAAAATTTTTAAAATAAGAATAAGAAAGACCAAGTTATAAAATAGTTTGGGTAGTATGGATCTGTCCTGTAAAAACATACGGTGTCTAGGAAAAAAATAGTTCAACAAAACAGTAGTAACATCACGAATGACTTTTACCTTTCTCGTTACTTTAAGTAAATTTTAAGTCTACAATGAATGCGTATTACCTTTTACATTAAAAGCGATTATTTAAAAGGTAATCATTGTCCACGAAAAAACTTCAATTATTTGAAAACAGGAATATTGTGAAATTTTAAGAGAGAAGAGATAAATGGTTTTGTTTTCTCTTACGCATCAACAATCTTTCTCTTTAAGAACAATCTTTAAGTTTCTAGTTTCTTGGAATTATGCAAAGCTGGGTGAAGTAGACAGTGTTGTTAGAAGTTTTACTATTCCATTCAAGAACCTGGCAGGGAAAAAAAAAAAAAAAAAGCCTAACTATTGCAGATCAACGCCCCCCCAAAACTGCAAAGAACTTACCTTCTCTTGTTTGTGTAATTTGACACTCCCAGGATTTATCTGTAAATTTATATGTTCAAATATTCATTGAGGTAAATGAAGCCTAAATTAATTGCTTGTAATTGAAGGAAGCTTCTTCAACTTGAATTAAACCTTTTCAGCTGTTATTTGAAAAGCCAGCAAAATGATCTGAACAATGAAAACAAGCTTAGGAGCAATTACTTAAAATGAACCTGACATGAAAGAGACATAATGAAAAGACATTTCTGCGTCAAAGAAGGGCACAGAAGTATATTGTTTAACAATTCAAGTTACTTATTAAAACTACTCCGTGGGAGAAAGTAGACAATGAACCCGGGAGGCAGGACATACCAGAGTCATATATGACACAGTTGCTGCCCTCAAGGAGTTTATAAAGTATTTGGTATTTCCTTGTTAAGCAACAAATTTCCATTGAGTTTAATGAATGAAATAACCTTTATTTTTCAAAACTGCAATTGCAGGGAGTGTATTATTTTAGGCACCTCCAGAGTACATATTTTCAAAGGGAGGAGAATGATATGATAGCAGTCTAAACATGTTAAAGAAAATAAACATTAATGAAAGCTGCTTGGTGTTAAATGGTGGTTCCACACCAGAAAAAGGGAACCCTAGTCTCAGACCATCCATGTCAAAGAAGTTCCCAGTCTTTGTAGACACTTAAATGACGTTGTCCTCATGTGAGAACCTGGGCTCTTCCTTGTTCTGTAAACTTTCCCGTTGTGCTGTGGGGGCACAGATACTATGCACTGAGAAGCTCTGGAGGAACAGGAAAGAAAATGCTGGTTTTCTTCTGTCCTGGTGCCATGGGAATCTTTACTGCCTGCTCCTCTAGCTAATAGTTAAAATTTCCCCCAATTTGTTTCACATGCTACTAAATCTTGCACATTTCCATGGATGTCTGAATTCTCTGCTGTCTATGGAAAAACAACCCTCCATATATGCTTCAAATGTTTCAGAATTATAATACTTTGTTCTAGAGTTATTATAAAAAAATAAGCATTATTAAGTCTTCTGAGTACACAAAGTTTGGATAGTGGTGATGCAGTGACCCATTTATTTCACCTTCTTCTATGGGATCTAATCTGCCAAGTTTGACAAGGCTATGAAAGAACCTACTGCTTCAAAATCCTTCATCACCTTGAGGCACCTTCCCTTTTTTTTCCACTTTCTTTCTATTTTATTTTTATTTTTATTTTATTTTTTTTAAAGATTTTATTTATTTATTTGACAGAGGGAAAGAGATCACAAGTAGACAGAAAGGCAGGCAGAGAGAGAGGAGGAATCAGGCTCCCCGCTGAGCAGAGAGCCCAATGTGGGGCTCGATCCCAAGACCCTGGGATCATAACCTGAGCTGAAGGCAGAGGCTTAACCCACTGAGCCACCCAGGCGCCCTTTATTTTTATTTTTTAAAAGATTTTGTTTATTCGTTTGACAGAGATCACAAGTAGGCGGAGAGGCAGGCAGAGAGAGAGAGGGAAGCAGCCTCCCTGCTAAGCAGAGAGCCCAATGAAGGGCTCGATCCCAGGACCCTGAGATCTTGACCTGAGCTGAAAGCAGAGGCTTAACCCACTGAGCCACCCAAGCGCCCCTTCACTTTCTTTTTAATTGTACTCCGTGTTTGAGCTAGAAAATATCTTTTGGAATTACAGTCAAAATTCTAAATTTGTCCAGCATACAGTTGGAGGATATTGGGTAACTAGGTTCCAAAAATGGCACCCGGTGAACCACCCCTCCTCATATTGATATGCTCGTATAGTCCCCCTACATTGAATCAAGACTGGCCCTGAGTTGCTTTAACTTATGGAAAGAGGGTGAAACTGATACTATGACAGGTCTCTGCCCAAGCCAAAAAGTCCTGAAAGTTTTAAATTTTCTATAAGAAGTCAGCCATCATGGAAGAAGTCTATCAGAAACCCTGGAGGAAAAGACTCCAGGTGGAGAGGAAGGCTATGTGAACCAAAGCACCAGACTGGAGTGAAAAAACCATCTTGGAACCTTCCAGCCCACTTAGTCAGCCTCCAGTGAACTCCAGCCCCCAACTGCTATCTGACATCATCAATGAGAGACTCCAAGCAAGACCTGTAGAAGACTGCCTGGTTGTGCCTAATCAGCCCAGAGAATTGCAAGAGATTATAATCAGTTGTTTTCAGCCACTAAATTTTGGGGGTGGCTTGTTTCTCAGCAATAGATAACAAAACAGCATATATTAAATATCAAAGGCAAGGTTTCTCCTGGCTGCTTTTTGTTTGTTCACCATCATTGGGAGCACATATAGGGATGGTATTTTGCAATTTAATAGAGTCTCAAACCCTTTGAAGCAAATTGACTTCCCTGTGAGTGAGGAAGATATCTTTCCTATAATGTAGACTTGTTGCTACATAAAAAGTAAGTCACTTTCTCACAGCATACGTCAGTATCATACCATTAGATAGATGATGGTGGATGATGAGATATTCTTATCACAATACCCCTAAGAACATAGACATTTCATCAATAATAGGTGGAGATATAAATACATATAGAAATTCCGGCCCTCATAATGAGCTCATTTATACCAGTTATGTAAGATTCTTGCTGAATATCTGCTGAGGGAATTTGAACTTCAGGAGCAGCGTGGCCAGCGGATAAACTGAACTCCTGTATGGCAGTATTCAAAGTAATTGGTGTATTAATTTCAAAACACACCCATAACCTTGATTCCTTGGTGTGCATACCTCACTATGCAAACTACTGATACAAAGAGCTGTATATCTCCAAAGCCAGTTTTAACTTGTACAGTTTCCTGCTGATAATAAAAACAATGCTCTGCAGAAACTGCAATGCAGTGAGTGAAGAGAAAAACCCAGTTTAAAGAGTGCTTTTGAATTCTGTGTTGATACTTATATAAGTATATATGCATAGGAAAAAAAAGACTGAACATATATGCTCCAAAATCTTAGTCATAATTATTCTTTCTTTAAAAAATATTTTATTTATTTATTTGAGAGAGAGTATGGGGGGAGAGGGGAGGGGGGGGGAGAAGCAGGCTCCCGGCTGAGGAGGGAGCCCGATGTTGGGCTCTGTCCCAGGACCCTTGGATCAGGTCGAGCCCCTGGGATCATGACCTGAGTTGAAGGCAGATGCTTACCCAACTGAGCTGCCCAGGCGCCGCAGTCACAAATATTCTGATTAGATTACTTTTTTTTTTTTCTCATTTTTGTCTGTCTGTATTTTCCTAAATAAATGCCTATTACTTTTATAATAATAAGCAAAAAATTGGGGGTGGGGTATGGAGTAAAGGAGGAACACTTGCTTTTCTCCCGAGCCACTGGGTCTATTTCATTTTCAAATTGAATTTTAACCACAAGCTTTGCAAATCTTTTCATTCTGTATCTACAGAGCGGAGCCTGGAGAATTTGACCTCATCTTTAAGTGCGGTTGTGGTAAGGGTCTAAAGATCCTTTACTCTTTCAATCTACTGTTATCTTTGCAAAGTTTCACTCAGAATAGGAGTCCCCACACGAAGATGGAGTTCTGTGAGTACACTGAGGAGAGACTAAGAACCATAGCTTCAGAATGATACACAACATTGCCATATTAAAAAAAAATAGAGTAC